GGGTTCAAGAGCCTCCCCGAGAACCTCAGCCTGGGACCTCAATTGGAAGTGGAGTCTTACAGATCGACTTGGCTGCAATGAGGCCACACAGGCTTAGGGTAGCCCCTACGTGCAGTATGCACATCTGGTGCCCTTATCAAAAGAGCAAGAACACACAGAGACACAGGAGAGACCCCAGGAAGGATGCCATGGGAAGGCGGCGGCCGAGAGTGGGGTGGTGCTTCAACAGGCCAGCAGGTTTGGCTGGCAACCACCTGAAATTAGGAAGAGGCTCGGAATGGATTCTCTCCTAGAACTCCTAGAATCAGGGAACCGGCCCTCTCAACACCGTGGTTTTGTATTTCAAGCCTCTGAGCTGGTGAGAGAGGACATGCCTGCTGTGTTGTAAGCCACCCAGCTGATGGCAATTTCTCGTAGCAGCTCCAGGAGACAAGTCTATGCCGCAGCGCACAAAACAGACAAAGCCTCTGCTCTCACGTTGCTGACATTCTAGTTAGGATCTTGCATACAATGTAATGGGACATAATTTATTTAACCAGTGCCTTGTTGTCAGCTATTTAGATGCCTCTGAGTTTTCAGTACCATAAACAGTGCTTCAGGACACATCCCTGTAATTATGCTTTGAGCTCATCCCCAATCCCGGCCCCCTTTAGGATTAATTCTTGGAAGCGGAATTGCTGGAAGACAGGGGGGTGTGAGGAAGTGAGGGTGCTGGCGTTTCAACCTAGATCTGTCTGTCTGACTGGAGGGAGCCCAGGCTATTACCCACCCAGCAGGTAATCGTGCTACACTGAAGAAATCATGGTAACGAGGGGCAGCCTAGTGCACCCTCGATGGCTTAGGCTTGTGGGCTGTAATGATGTAATAATCACCACACCTGGGTTTGGAGTCTACACGAATGGCCTTCGAATTCCAGGTCTGTAAATTACGATGAGGTGAATTTGGACAAGCTGCTTTAGGTTGTAGACTTCGGTTTTTTATTCTTGTCTTTGCTCCTGTGACGTGGCAGTGCTAGTCATCTGGAGGAGGTAAACTTCCTGAGTGTTGTGATAGTTAGGTTCGATGTGAACTTGGCTGGGCCAGGAGTCTTAAGGCCTCGTAATCCCCCAGGAAGGGATCTAACGCTGTGTAATCAGGTCCAGAGTGGGATCTGCTGTGAGCAGATCTGCTGTGAGTAAGGTTAAGGTGGGATGCCACGATCTTACTGATTGCAACCCTGAAGCAAGCAATGAAAAGGAATTTTCTAGGGGGCGTGGGGGAGGAGATGGGTGTGGCCTGCTGTCAATATAAGGAGATGCCAGGGAAGCGAATGCTTGCTTTTGTTGGGAGCCTCAGCCTCGTACATAGGTTACTGACCTCGGGGGTTCTTTGAACTTGAGGCAACAGGCTGGCATGCTGCCAGCTAATCCTGGGAGTCACCAGTGGCCTGCTAGCTGACCGGCCAGCCTTGAATTCACTTACCGCTACAGCCATGGCCCTGTCCTCTTCTGGACAATCTTAGGCTCATCACCCCGGCTACGCAACTCAGGGACAGCCGCCAGCCACAGACTTGGAACTGCCTGGACCTTGGATTTACCCGCTTCTGCAGCTGAGTGAACCATTTTCTTGATCAAAATCTCTCTGTAAGCTTCACTGGTTTTGTTTCTCTGGGAGCCCAGTTTAAGCCAAGTGGTGCCTGTGTACCAGCCTCTGAGCTACGAGTCGACAGTCTAGTTTTGGGTGGAGGGGGTGGGGGTGGGGGATACAGGGCCATGGAGTCTTGTGTCAGGGTGGAACTGTTTGCTTTGTAGGGTTTTGAATGGCTGAGTTTTCAGAAGTAGATTGTCAGGCCTGTCTCCTGAGGTGCCTGTGGGTGCAGTGCCTGCCTTAACTATTCGCCTCATTAGTGGACACCGAGGGAAGCATTAGGAAAAGATCACACAGAAAATGACCGCTTGCAGGTGTGCTATCTGGAGAAGTACAGGATGTTGTGAGAATATAGTGGGGAGAGATCTGCTCTGGGGTTCAGGTGGGGAAGCTAAGTGAGGTGTGAGCCGAAACAGGAAAGGTGTGGAGGTGTTGATCAGGTCAGGTGAGGAAGGAGATGACCTTGCGGTGGGCTTCCAAGTCGCTTGAACACGGAGTGCGATTGTGTGACACTCTTTCCCACCTAACAGCCCTTGTCATTGATGTTTCTTCTGGAAATCACTCTTCTGAGGAGATATTCCAAGCACTGGTTTCTCCCCTCTTTTTGCTCTTGGTTCAAATGCCATCTCCTGAGAGGTTTCTTCCAGGATAGTCTTTCTCCAGGGAACCACCCCCACCTGCCCAATCACTTTTGTTTTGGAGGAATGTAGCGGATTTTGTTGCCCGTGCCCAGGGGGGCATGTCTGTGCACGTGCAATTGATCACTGTCTTTGCGCCGGGCAGCCATTCTCACCCTCCCTTGCTGAGCTGTTCCTCGGCCCTTGGCACAAACTCACTGCCCCCGAGATTCCTGTCTCATCGTTGGAGCTGCTCTTGTCAATGTGAACAGATCTAACCCAAGCCAACCCCCTGCCATCAGGTTGATTCTGACTCAGACTAAACCTATAGGAAAGGATTCCCAAGAAGGCAAATCTTGGAGAAGTAGGCAGCCTTGTCTTTCTCCTGCCCTGTGGGTGGTCTCCTCCCAGGGGGATGAGCACATCCAACCTGTTTGCTTCTGAGCAATGTAGTGGTGTGTTAGGACCACCAACCTAGCAGCTAGCACTGCAAAGTTTAACCCTTTGTGCCACCAGGGCTCATCAGATATCCCATATTACTCACTCACTGTCACAGAGTCCATTCTGACTCACAGCAAGGCTACAGGGCAGGGTAGAACGGCCCCTGTGGGTTTCTGAGATGGTAAATCTTTATGGGAGTAGAAAGCCTTCTCTTTCTCCTGCAGAGCAGCTGGTAGGTTTGAACTGCTGACCTTGAAGTTAACAGCCCAATGAGCAATCCATTACAGCACCCAGGATCCTTATTATCTCAGATAGCTCTTAAAGAAACATAACGCTCAAGGCAGACATTCTTTCCTAATGAAACACATTATTGAGGGGATACTTTTGCCTTAACGTTTAAAGAGGCTCTCGGCAATAATTTCAGGGGTTCATCTAGCCTTCTTTGGCTCCAGAAATCCCAAGGTCCCAAAAGGAATTTGAAATTATTTTCTGCATATATTAAGTGACAGCTCACTGCCATAGAGTCAGTTCTAACTTATGGCAACCCTATAGAGTAATAGTTCTAGCCTTCCTAATGCCATGACCCTTTCATACAGTTCCTCATGTTGTGGTGACCCCCAACTATAACATTATTTTTGTTGCTACTTCATCACTGTCATTTTGCTACTGTTATGAATCAGGAAACCCCTGTGAAAGGGTCGTTTGACCCACAGGTTGAGTACCGCTGCTAGAGGGCATCATACAACTGCCCCTATGAGTTTCTGAGACTGTAACTCTTCCTGAGAGTAGAAACCCCAGTATTACTCCAGTGGAGCAGTTGGTGGTTTTGAACCATTGACCTTACAGTTACAACCCAATGCATAATCACTACGTCACCATGAGCCCTGGTGAAGTAGTGGTTACAAGTTGGGATACAATCTGCAGTCAGCAGTTCAAAACCACCAGCCTCTGTGAGGAGGAAGATGAGGCTTTCTACTCCCAGAAAGTTAGTCTCAGAAACCCACAAAGGGCACTTAGTTCTATCCTGTCTTACAGAGTCGCTAGGAGTCAACATTGACTCGATGGTAGTGAATTTGGCCTTTGGTCCGCATATGTTGTTATCAGTAGGCGCTCTAGAACCTCCTCTGATTTCTATAGAACAGTCTGGCATCCTTGTTACAGCTGATAAAGGCCTATGACTTGGAGCAGCGGAGCCAGTTCATTAACCCTAAGTTAGCAAAAGAAAGAAAAAGTAGAAGGGGACACCAGGGGAGAATCTAGCAGCAACACAGGTTATCCTGATGGAATCCTATTTTAAATGACAACCCATACTTTATATACTTTGATGTTAGAGTTCACACCCTGGGGAAGCCAAATACAGATGTTTTTTTTTAACATTAACTCAGGTTTCAGAATAATCACAGTAAACAATCGTTGACCCATGAGCAAGCAGACAGAACAATAAGGTTCTCTTTAGCCTTAGTATAGCTCTGTTAACAGGTGACAAGAATTGTCCTTTTGATCATTCTTAGGCAAAAAAAAAAAATAGAGTGGGAGTTACCTGGCTGATAGCGTAGTGGTTAGGTACTGGGCTGCTAACAGTTAAGCCAGCAGTTTGAAACCACCAGCTTCTCAATGAGACAAAGATGAGGTTTTCTATTTCCATGAGGAGTTGGGGTAAATAAATTGAAAAAGGCTCAATGGCAGTGAATTTGTTTTGTTTTGCTTTTGGTGAGCTCAAGTGACATGCACATCCAACCTGTTTGCTTCCGAGCAATGTAGGAAGTTGGAAAAAAAAAAAATCCCAGAGGGAAGAACAACAAGAAATTCCAGAGACTTGAAGTGAGAAACCAGTCACCCATGGGTGTGAGTTGGGGTGGCTACGAACACAGGGAGTGGATCTGGGAAAACTGTTAGGCTTGATTCTGTTTTGTTTTTTCATAATACCTACGACGGTTTCAAGCATTCATATTCAATTGTTTTTAATAGCTCCCGCACTTGGATGGAAACTCTTAGCGGGCAAGGCTGTATTTCTTTCTTTTCAGACTTAAGAGCTAATTTCCCAGTACCTGGCATACCGTAGTCGCTCAATGCCTGTTTGTTGAATAAAGAAACGGGGCTCGGTGCAATGTCGACATCTGGCAATGGCCTTTCTCACAGACCGGAAAACGGAAAAAGCTGGCACACCAGGTTTCATCCCAGGAAGCTCCGGTCCTGGGCGCGCCAGCCTGGCGGTCACGTGGGCCCGGGCAGCGCGGCCGTCCCCCGCCCCGGAACCAAGAGTCGTGGCAGCGGTTTCCGGCCACGGCGGACACTTCCAGCGGAAGGACGGACCCGTGGCACTCGGCGCGGCTGAGGGAGCCACGGTGCCACGGCCAGGCGCGGACACGGAGACCCGGCGAGCGGAGCCCTGGCGATGGACTGCCTGGAGGAGTTCCGTCGGCGCTGGCAGGAGGAGCTGGTGCAGGCCCAGGCGCTGAGGAGGCGGCGGCAGCCCAACGCCGACCGGAGGCAGAGGCGGGCGGAGCAGGCCCAAGGGCGTGGCGAGCCGGCCTCTGGCTACCTGGCGCTGGCCCAGGGCCTCCTGGAGGGCGCGGGGAGGCCCCCTGCGGCGCGGGGGCCCCGGGGAGAAGGGCAGGATGCAGCGGGTCGTTCTCGCTCTCCGCCGGCCCGCGAGGACCTCGTGACCAGGGACCAGCTGTTGGACCAGCTCATCCGTGACCTGGTGAGTGGCTCTGGCCTCCTGCCGAGCAGGGAGAAGCCCCACATTGGGTTTGGAAAGTACCTGAATTGGGGACAAAAAGAGGAGGATTACGCATGCGCGTGCGCACATACACGCGCGCACGTACACACGCACGCTCACGTACACACGCACGCGCACGTACACTTGTGCGTGCCCAAGTTCGATACGCTGGGAACAGTGGTTCTCAATGGGACCTACTTGGTCTGCTAGGTTCGGTGGTTTCTTGTGATGTGTTCGCACGTTGGGCTGCGATCCGTAAGGGCTGTAGTTCGAAACCGGTAGCCGCTCCGTGGGACAGGGACGAGGCTTTTTACTCCCAGAAAGTCTCGGAAACCCACAGGGGCAGGGGTCGCGATGAGGGGGCATGCACTCGATGGCAGAGCGTAGTTTTTGTTTTGAGAGACATTTTTAGGAGCCCTGGTAGCGACGTGGTTACTTGTTGGGTTGCATTTTGAAACAAGGTCAGCAGTTTGAAACCACTGGCGCGCTCCGAGTGCGGAGGAAGACAGGACTTTCGACGCTCGTACAAAGAAAGTTAGTCTCTGAAACTCACAGGGGCAGCTCTACCCTGCCCTTATAGAATAACTGAGTTGTCAATGACCCCATGGTAGGGAGACATTTTTTGGTGGTTACAACGGTTGGTGGTAGGTGTAGAGATGACTCTGTAGCTTATAATGCATAGGATAGCTCCTCAGAACAACCCCCCCCAAAAAAAAAAATTAGCCTGCTCCCCAATGAGAAAGGAGCCCGGTGGCGAAATGTCTACACATTGTGTTTCAAGGAACAAGGTCAACAGTTTGAAACCACCAATGCGCTTTGGCTTTGCGGGAGAAAGACAGGGCTTTTTACTCATGTATAGAGTTACAGTTTCTGAAACTCATGGGGCAAATCCACCCTGCCCTATAGAGTCGCTATGAGTTGGCATCGACTCATTTTGAGTGCCCCAAAATGAGGGAAGGAACCTTGCGCTCGAAGGAGACTCAAACTGTTATCAACTGTTGCCACTGTAGGGGAGACAATGACCCAGAATAAAAGGACTTTTGACTTTTCTCCGTATATTGTTTGTACTAAACTTTTTTGAACTGAAATATATTTAAAAAATTAAAACAGGAAAAAAAACCCATTCCTGGCAACTATGACTAGGATGAAGGGAGTTTTGGTGGAGAATGGATCCCTTGGAGAATCTGGAGGAGAAGGTACTAATGAACCCTCCCCTATCAAGGTATTGGAAAGTTGGGAAGGTCCAGATGGCATGAAAGACTTGCATTGTACTGCTCCAGGTTAGGAGTTGAACAGGACAGCACCTATGAGTGACCTAACTCAGGGGTCAGCAAACTGTGGCTCGCAAACCATATGCAGTTCTTTAGGTACATACATGTGGCTCTGAAATAAAATTGAAAACCTGTGAAGGTTGTTCAGATAATGGTGATTTCATTTGTTTTTAAAAATATATTTATGGTGCTTGAGTCATTTTTAAATTGCTGTGAAGGACAGGATTGGCTCCACCACCTCAAAAGTTTGCCCAACGTTGGACAAACTCCATCAGCCTCAGAAGGCCTCCACTGCTTACCTACTCCCTGCTTTGGAGTTGATTCTGACTCATAGTGGCCCTATAGGGCAGACGAGAACTGTGCCTCTAGGATTCCCAGACTGGAACTCTTTATACATTTTTTAAATCATTTTATTGGCTCATACAGCTTTTACCACAATCGATGCATCCATCCATTGTGTCAAGCACATTTGTACATTTGTTGACATCATCATTTTCAAAACATTTTCTTTCTGCTTGAGCCCATGGTATCAGCTCTTCATTTGCCCTCCCTCAGCCCCCCACGATCCCTCACGAACCTTTGATAATTTATAAATTATCAATTTTTTTATGTCTTACACTGACTGATGTCTCTCTTCACACACTTTTCTGTCATCCATCCCCCAGGAAGGGAGTTATATGTAGATCACTGTAATCTGTTTCCCCTTTCACCCCTCCTGGTATCACTACTCTCATTATTAGACCTTAGGGGTTGATCTGTCCTGTATTCTGTGTTTTCCAACTCTTGCCTGTACCCCTGTACATGCTCTGGTCTAGCTGGATTTGTAAGGTAGAATTGGGGTCATGATAGTGTGGGGGAGGAAGCATTAAAGAACGGGAGGAAAGTTGTGTGTTTCATCAGTGCTATACTGAACCCTGACTGGCTCATCTCTTCCTTGTGACCCTTCTGTAAGGGGATGTCCATTTGTCTACAGATGGACTTTGGGTCTCCACTCTGTATTCCCCCTCATTCACATTGATATGATTTTTTGCTCTGGGATGCCTGATACCTGATCCCATGGACACCTCATGATCACACAGGCTGTTGTGCTTCTTCCATGTAGGCTTTGTTGCTTCTCAGCTAGATGGCCGCTTGTTTGTCTTCAAGCCTTTAAGGCCCCACACGCTATATATTTTGATAGCCGTGCACCATCAACTTTCTTCACCACGTTTGCTATGCGACTGTAACTCTTTAAAGGAGCATAAAGCCTCATTTGAGGGGTAATTCTGTAACTGGAAAGTTGTTTCAAGAAATTGTGGCTTCTTATTTAGTGTAATACCCCCAGCCCAAGCCACTGCCATCTAGTCTATTCTAGCTCCTAGCCACCCTATCTATATAGGGTTTCTGAGACTCAATCTTTACTGGAGCAGACAACCTCATCTTCCAAGGAGCAGATGCTGTGTTTGAACCAACAACCCTAAAATTAGCAGCACCACCATGGCGCTTGTGAAAATACAGGTTCTCTGCTCCTCCCAGGACCTGCCTAATGAATCTTCAGGAGAAAGACCCAGAAATCTGATTGGGATGACCAGGCAAGTTTGAGACATTGTCTTCTGCAGGACAGCTTCCTTGACTTTGGGGCCCTGACACATCTCGATAGACATTGGTACCAAAGTTAGCGGAACACTAAAGAAAATAGTCTTAAGAATGAGTGACTTGCCTCCTGGAAGATACAGCAGACACGTAGGAATCTAGGGTTCATATGTAGTGACAAAGGACTGCTCTTGGTCTCCTTTGCCTCCTCCACAATTTTTGTATTGGGCGCTACTTATTAGGTTCTACATAGTGTGAGACCGTTGTCTACTGATGTGTCCAAAATATGTGAAACCAAGTCTCACCATCCTTGCCACTAAGGAGCATTTTGGCTGTACTTCTTCCAACAGATCTGCTTATTTATGGTACTTTCTCAGTATTCTTCACCAGTATTATAACACAAATGCACTGATTCTTCTTCAGTCTTCCTATTCAGTGTCCAGCTCTCACATGCATAGGAGGGGATGAAAAGACCATGGCTTGCATCAGGTACACCTACGTCTTCAAAGGAACATCCTTGCTTTTCTAAAGAGGTCTTGTGCGGCAAATTTACCTAATATAGCATGTCTTTTGGGCTCTTTAACAGCTGCTTCCATGAGCATTGATTGTGGATCCAAGCAAGACAATGTCTTCGACAACTTCACCATTGTCTCCATTTATCATGTTACCTATAGGTCCAATTGTGAGGATTTTGGTGTACTTGAATTATAATCTATACTGAAGGCTACAATCCTTGATCTTCATCAGCAAGTGCTTCAAGTCCCCCTCACTTTTCACCAAGCAAGTTGTGTCATCTGCATGTCTCAGATGGTTAATAAACCTCTGACTATTTGTGCAGCATACAGATTAGGTAGGGTGAGCGGATACAACCCTGTCAACATCTTTCCTGATTTAAAACCATGCAGTACGCCCTTGTGTTTACCCTACTGCCTCTTGATCCATATACAATTCCAGAACAATTCCAAAAAGCGGTCTGGAATTCCCTTTCTTCTCAGGATTATCCATAGTTTGTTATGGGCCACACAGTCGAATGCTTTGGCATCGTCAATAGAGCACAAATAAACATTTTGTAGTCTCTGCTTTCAGTCAAGAGCCATCTGACATCAGCAATGCTGTATCTTCTTCCATGCCCTCTTCTGAATCCAGCCTGAATTTTTGACAGCTCCCTGTCAAATGTATTGCTGCAGTCTTTGTTGGATGATCTTCAGCAAAATTTTACTTGCGTGTGATATCAGTGGTACTGTTCTATAATTGGTGCATTCCATTGGGTCACCTTTTTTTGGAACGGGTGCAACTATGGATCTCTTCCAGTCAGTTGGCCAAGTAGCTGTCTTCCAAATTTCCTGGCACTGACAAGTGAGTGCTTCCTGTGCTTCATCAGCTTGTTGAAACATTTCAACGGACAGTCCATCAATCCCTAGAGCCTTGTTTGAGGCTAATGATTTCATTGCAGCTTGAACTTGCTCATATGCGATCTCTTGAAATGTCGACTCGTTATTTTTGGTTCAGTGATTCTGTATTCTTTCCATCTTTTGATGCTTCTTGCATCATTCATTCTTTTACTCATAGACTCTTTAAATATTGGAACTCAAGGCTTGAATTTTTTCTTCTTTTTTTT